AATGACGGATTCAATTATTCTCCCCCCCGGTATTACCTCATCATCCCCCTCGCGTAAAAGAGATTGGCGTGACCAATCTCTTTTACGCGGAAGCCGGAGGGAAGTAACCGACGTTGGAATAACGTCGACGATGCGAATTCTTCCTGCAAAAGCGTATACGGTAACCGGCGGCTGACGGAAAGATGCGCGACACCTAGTTAAGTAAGTACGGTAAAAGGCTCCTCGCTTCGACGACCGGCATCCAAGTTACGTCGATATTTCTTTGCTCGACGTTTATAATAACCTTCTGGCCACCTTTCTCTCTCTCTCTCTCTCTCTCTCTCTCTCGCTCGCTCGCTCGCTCGCTCGATATCGAACAATACCGAAGGCGCCAGTTTATATACATCACAGGCGGCACTTTTATGCTCGAATGCGTTGCCGCGACATCAGCGTAGCCGAGAGTGATCTATAGGTGCGCGAGAGACGAAGTTTAACGACAAACGAGGTTCATTATACCCGGGGAAACAAGGTCCGCGATGTATCTACACGGTTCGAGAAAAATATAGCCGCATCGATCGCACGCAACAACGATGTATCTGGGCATCTAGACATCTCGCGGCTTTATCAACGGACGTAGATAGGTATATACGTATACTTAAAGTAAACGCGCGATACACCGACCGCTATATACACCGTGCATCGGACGGTACGCTGGAGGTAGCGGCTTCCATAACGTTCCACGTCTTCCAATTTCGCCCCGATACTAAAGTGGAAACTAAAGTGTACACTCACCGACACGCGACAAATACAAAGACGCGTGTACGACAAGTGATTAATTAATTTAATCACGCCAAAGAACGCCGCGAAGCGCCGATCGGAGGGAATTATGCAAAATTTGGCTAAGGTAACGTTGTTGCACGCGTAATAATCGGCCTCGTGCATTCCTTCACGTAACGTAGGAGAAAATAAAATTACGAGCAACATTACGTCATGTTTATCGCAAATTCCGTCTTGATACTTGGGATATTTTACATCCCCGTGTATCCTCGCTTTTGAAAATAACGAAAAAAATATGCACGATGTCGATCATGTTTCACCCTTTTAATTACCGAGGTCCTGGAATTGGTACGGGAATGTCGAGAGGGTATCCAGGGTCGTAGATTCGACAGGATACGAGCGACATGGATAGATATCGATTGTATCTACACATCTTTATCTCGGCCGCGATTGCATTGTTAGCATGGAGCGTATTGTTTGAACGTCATATCGGCGCGAGGCCTCGGGCAACCAATCAGCGTTTGCGGTAGCCGTGCCTTATCAAAGATTTCCGCCACCGAGCCGCAGGGCTTAAATCAACCTACCACCCTCCTGACGAGTTCCTTTCTTCAGTTTGCGGAACTCTGTCGAGAGTAGCAACACGAATTGGTACTCGCAATAAGAGATCAAGGATCCTAATTGCCAGAGTTCCACGGTGAAAACTCGTAATGAGCGCTCGCGAGATATCATCCGCAATCTTGGAATAAATCATTCCAATAACCATCGTCATTGTATCACTGATTACGCAGTCTCTGACGAGGCTGGGGGGTTAAAAATTTGGCGCGAGTCGCGATAACACGCGTGTAATTATCATCGCGCCCAAAGATCCCCTCGCGTACGCGATTCATTTCACGACAATTTATAACAATTTAATTATCCGCGCGCGCGTTACATTAATTAATATTCATCGATAATGGAATACTAGACAACACGTACGTCGCGATATGACGCGATGCTATGGCGCTCATCAAGCAATAATAAGCAACGGTAATTACTCGTTAATTGGATGACGCCGCGTTTTAATAACCATTCTGCAATATGGAAACGCGCGACAGGTCGATGGCAGGTCGATGTGAGGAAATCCTAAGGGCATTCATAAATAAATAACGTAAACGAAGCCAAGGTGAAGAAATTACGAAGAGAATAGGGGAGAGAAAAGCGAGGAGATCAAATCTGACTCGCACAATATTTTCTACGACATCGTACGCACTTGGGTCTGCTTTACGATCCCGAGAATATAACTCGGTGAACGACTTTAACATATAAATATCTCGCCACGTCGTCTTTAATATCATATCCGGTGATCGCCTCGTCAACGAACGTTCGGTAAATTGGTGACGTAATTACGGATCTTCGCTCCCTCACGGGCTTACCTGTCTCGCGGAATTGCTCGTAACGGCCCATCGGAACCCTGTATCAACCGGAATACGGGAATACGTATAGCGACCTAGTAACACATACGTTCGCGTCACGGTCCTGTTACAGCTGTTCGTCCGTGTAACTGCGCTCCGATTTACGCGCACCCGACATTCGCGCAGAGAAAGGGGAAGCAGTGAAGAGAGTCGAGACGAATTTGAATTTGGACGCGAGTCTCGTTAATTTTTCGCTGCACTGTTTGCCCGGGAGAGGGATGTTTATTGCCCGCAGCTCGAGAACTATCACCGGTACCTACACGTTGTTTACGCAAGTATGTATGAGAGAGGGTGGGCGGGCGCGAACCTCGGATGCTGCACATCCCCGTTTTAATGATTTCGATCTAACGAGCGCGTTCAAAAGCCGCGCTTGAGTCTCCAAAGAGGAACGATATCGAGTTTGTTAAAAATCGAGTAGGGATCAACTCTACACGATTTCATGAAGCTTATATGTTTCGCTAATTGCATGAGATATTTTGAGATCGTTTTAAGACCAACTTTTTATCGCGATACGGCGCGCGTGCAAATTACTAATCATTATTTATTTCAAATAAATAAGATAAATATATTTGTCAAAATTAAATCGACGTTTTGTGCATTTATCGTCGTTTCCGCAGATAAACGGAAAATTGCATTTTCTCGTATCAAACATTTCTTATTTATAAATGTCCTTCTTTTACGACGTTTCCAGGAAGATCATTCTTTTATAGATGGTATCACGCGACTTTCGATCGGTATCGAAATGGGTAGCGAGTAATGAAACTTTCCTTGCCGGGGAGAGTAGGTCACCCAGGTATCGGAGCGACCGGGCTCTCGATATTTCCGCTCTCTCGTTCGTGCGAGCGACAGAGTCGCGGATCAGCGGACAATCATACTTGAATAGACGCCGCGCGCACACGAGAGACTCGATGCGCGTATCCGCGTGGACACGCGTTGATTCGAAATCATTGTGCCACGCCACACCGACAATCGAACCCCGACGAGCCTCGAATTTCGCATGCTATCGCGCGAATTTCACCCTCGAACGTACGGACGATTCGCGCGGGAGGATCAAACAGAGGAGATCGCCGCGCTTTTTCTCGCGAAAAAAAAAATATCGTAACGCGACTTGGATTAGATGATGGGGAAAAAAGAGAAAAAACAGAACGGCAATCAACGGAAAAACGCGTTTCGAGAGACATCCGCAAATTTAACTTTCAAATTTCACGCACCCACGCGACAAATTCTTGTATCGAAATGCGAAGAAATGGAAATTCTCGATTCGAAGCAACATCTGCGGATAAGTGACTCTTTTTAGAGCCGCCCGCGCGATGAAACCTAAAGCTCGGTCCCGCCAGGAATCTACGTTAAATAATGCCCTCGTGATTCGGGGATTTTCTGTGAAATAGTCCTACTTGTGCGATACATAAATGTATAAGAAAATTCAACTAAATGATATCACCGTTCTAATCAATTTTGATATATAAATAATTCCAAATCATACATCATACTGCGCATATCAATTAGTGTATATTTTCTATCCGATGTAACTGCATCTCGGAAAAATAGAGACTCTCTCTTGACTATTTATATATAAATTCCTACAATTCGTTTACAAATATGTATTTCCTATATTGTTTGTTTTTTCACGATATTTATTGAATATTCTTAAAATCTGTAGTACAATGCATTCAAAAAATACCGCAGATATATTTCATTTAGATACTACTATGTTCGTTGTATAAACAACGCGCAACATGAATCCATCAAACGCGCTATCGCCATAATTCAAGCGCGTATTTCGACCATATCTCTGAGTTATTTCACGTTTTATACGGCCCGTAATATAAAAAAGACAAAAGGACGGTAAAAATCAAAAGCAAATGGATAAATTACAACTATTATAAAACCGTTTATTTTTATATATTTCTAAAAATATGTATAAATATATATATTTATTCTTTATATTGTCATTGTATAATGAACAAGTTTGGTAAATAATAAAACCGCGTTTGATGCATTATATGAATTGAATACTATTATTGCGCGCTGTTATTTTTTAAATATGATTGTAACATTTTCGAGAAAAATCCCGGAAAGCAATTCTTTTATAAATTTTTCATCAAAGCAGGAATAAAAAACAATATGAAAACAATACAATAAATAAAAAATATTCAGTTTGATTTCGTCTATTGACCGGTTTGATTGATACTAGAAAATCAGCAAACAAACAAATTCTCTCGAAAACATTAGCAGATATTAAAATTTCGATCCTCCTAACTACCAGACAAATCAGATCGAAGAAAAAGTGTAAAATTAATTAAATTTGAAGGACTAAAAAAATAACGTATCAAAAAAATCAATCTATTTTTCACAATATCGTGATAACGTTATATTGAACTGTATCAAAATAATGAATCAAATGACGATAAAAACGAATATTTGATTTAAAAAGCCTGTAATTGTGAGAAACAATATTCCAGAGTTACTTTTCTAAATAATATATTTATTTCATATCATGAAATATATCATTTTTTTTCCATTAAATTTATATCATAGATAGCAAAAATTACCTTAATACATAGCATTTTTCAGCAAATTAAAATTAATAGTTAGGAATTTGGCTCAAATAAATAAATGAAAATTAAATCAAAATTGGCATGAGAGCCAAATTGGCTGTTTTGCCAATTTTGATTTAATTTTTATTTTTCAGCAAGTTAATAACTTTTCAAGAAGCGACATTTACAGACTTTTTATGGCAAATCCTCATATTATCATCGATGCAATTCTTTCGTCTCGACATGAAAGACTCACCATTATTAATCGCAGCCAAAGCGACGGCACCGAGCAGCCATGCGATGACGCTGACGGCGGACATCTTCGTTTCCCTCGTCGCGACTTTCTCCTCACATAATACGCGCCTTGCGTGCGTTAGAAGGAGCTCTGGAACCAAGAAGAGGAACGTATTATATTAAGCTGCGCGTGCACAATGTGTCACGAGATATTACAAGTTCGGTCGCGCATTTATCTCTCACAAAGATGAAGCTTTCGTAAACACCTGGCACTGAAACACCGGCGAAGAAAACCGAGATAACGATTGCGTTAACGTCACTGTTTGTTATTACATAATCTCGCATGCCGTAAGGATTCCTTTTAGTCACAACAGGATACGTCAGAACACGGATACTTATTCGATTATGCGCGGTAAAAAAAATATTGTATAACTGATAACACAAATAAACTGTCGATATTTATTTTCTCTAGTACAAGTATTAGTTTATACAATGATTTAAAATAAGTAGCATTCATTTTTTCAAGCATGTATGCTTTATTTCGAAAAAAAAATGTCCTCTTGTAGCTCGAAGATTATGTAATATTCCTTTCTTTCAAGATACCTTGAGAAATAATGTTTTATTTAACTTGCAAACAACAGAGGGAAAGGCAGTCTCGCGAATATAAAATATTTTTTCTTTCCGACTACAATAACACAGGAGAAAAAAGATAAAAAGATAAAAAAGATAAATATGTCATATCCTTGCAATAAACCTGGATATTTATTCGCTGATTATAATTTATAACAATTGTAATATTGTTTGTTGTGATTATTACAGAAATTTTTTTCGTCAAAAAGAAAGTTTACTCCGGGAGAAAAACGATCACTAAAAACGCGGGTCTGCAACGATGGAGGGTTTTCGCTGCATGTATGCGAGACGCAACGTGGCACAAACTGAAAAGCTACACGTGAGAAGAATTTGCGATGACGGTGCCACTTGTTCGCAACAAGGACAATTTTATCGCTTAACGCGATTGATGTCACGAGTTGCGTTCAGAAACCAGAATCAAACTCGTAATAAATCGTAATCCATGGTATTGTTGATCGTTGATAAGAGATGTGCAGAATTTTTCAGATTTTCCAAACTTTGGTATATTAAATTCTTGAGCAAGAAATAAAATCGACTTTTCTCTAGTAAAAAATTTACTCGAATGCTTTCTTATCATTTTCAAATACAGACTAAATCCCACAGACCTCTTTAGCTTTTTAATTAGATTATTAATTCTCTAACTTGAAAACATCGGTGTAGTTTCTTGGTTAAAGGGAAAACGCACCTCGCCGGAAAGAAACATTTATATTGAATATCAGAATAATACATCACTTTCTTACGTCTATATATATGGAAAAATCTACTTCACAAATGGCACAAGAATCCTTACGAATACGAGAAAAAGCGTGAGAAGCTTGAAAACACCTTGTATGGTCGCACGTGGTCCGTTGAAAATTTTACTCGAGAATTTCCCGGAACAGGCGGATGATTTCCTCGAGCGTTCTCCGCCCCCGCGAAATGGTCCCGGGAAGCTGCTCATTCGTCATGTCGAGATAGCGTCATCCTTTGGACGGATCCGCGAGAGACGCGACTTCCTCCCCTTACGTCGGTATAACCGTTAGCGGAATGGGTCTCTCACCCCAGAGTCATCTTCAACTCTGTAACGCGGTCCATTTATACAAACCGTACGCGGCGTCTTTACGCCAAAGCATAATCATCGCGTCACTTTATTTTCGCTAAATATTTTACGTTATCTAGTGAAACACTAAATAAATTGTTAAGTTAATCATGACTTGCAATGAAATTAAATTACGGTACTTCGCGGACTGTTTAAAATTAGTTTGACTGAGCGAAAGTAAAATTGACCGATATAGCTCTTTACAACTTCTCCATTATTAATGTAACATTTTTAAAGATCGTTAAATTAAATTGCTAAATTATATACGTATTATTTTTAGCGTAGATAAAAAATCTCGAAAAACGATACAATAAAATATTATTTTAAAGAACTATCTGTATCTCTTTTCTATCTCTTGAACGGATCCTAAAACGCCAAATAAATGATATTTCTTTTTCTGTCGCTTTTGGCTTTCCCCTTAGCCTTCACCCGACCCCCTCTCTTTGTCTCTGTCCTTCTTTTTGTGTCCACCGAGAGTAAGAGAGCGACCTAGGTAGCTATCGTTCTATCTGCACCGACTACTGCTCTCGTAGCTTCCGCACAAACCGGGCAACCCTTCAGATGCACGTTTCCCGCTGGCTCTCCGCTCCTTTCATCTCGGTCCGCTTTTACTTTATGCACCGGTTGTGCGCGCGCGAACTTTATACCGTCGTACACCGTGTGCTTTGGAAACCCGAAAATTCTGCTTTGCTACGGTATCGCGAGACGCCCACAAGCCACCATACGTTCTCGGGCACAATTTCCGCGCGTCTTCACGCCGCGCACATAAGTAATATGAATAATACAAAATGAATTTTTCGCCGCGCTTCCGCGGGTTCGTAATAGAATTACGATATCGCTCGTCTCGCGTTCGCATATTTTATATCATTTTATAATCCTGCGCGAGTTCCCACACATATTCTTCTGCGGCGCGTGTAAGAATATAGAAAAAAACATGCATATATGTGTGTATGTGTGTGTGTGTGAACTTCATATCGAAAAATGTCGCGGAGAAGAGCTGTCGCATAAAATGCATTAATCAATATATGTATTTTATAAAGTTACTATTGAACCGCTCTTTTTTCTCTCTATAATGTAATCCCCGTATTATAAAATCTTCACACATTCTGCGGGATTTTTACAATAATATCAAAATAGAACGAACGCGACATGGAGCGCCTATTTTCTCATCGCTTCTCATCGTTTCTCGACAAATAGAAAAAAATGTGCAACGTGTGTCTTGATGATCTTGATTAGACTACGAGGGAAAATAGCAGCTGGAGGAAAGGCAACTGTTGCTTCGCGAAGGAAAACACGTGCGCGCAACGCTTATAAAATATGAATTCGTATCCAGCACATTTTTCAAGATAAAAGACCAAACGCACTTTCTTGTGAGTGCACCTGTGTCACTAAAGCAGATTAAACTGGAATGCCGTATACCTTTCGTTTATGCGCAGGGAGAAGATAAAATCCTTTTTTATTTGTATTATCTGTAGCGTCCACTTTGCAGAAACGAAAAAATGCGCCAAGCTGAACTGAGGAAGGGACGAAAGATAATTTTGAAGAAAAATTCCAGATAAAGAAATTTATAAGAAAACTTACGGAAGAGAACATTAATTACGATGGCCAAAGGGTGTGTGTTTTCTAAAGTATCGTGAAATCTTAAAGGGACATTAAAGAATGTCGATGTCTTCAAAGACAAAGCGCGAGAGAAACCCTTCCAAAAAGTGCATTTATCTGCATTTTTAATGCATACCAATAATATGTAATATTCAAACATTTCCTAATTAGCAGACAATTAATTGTAAAAGAAGCAAATTATTCGAACCGAGCGAAATATATATGATGTAGGTCAAGCAAAAATAAATGTTTGACATATACTATTTATCGCACGCGCGTAATTAATTTCTGTATTAATTTAAAATTCCGCTTCCGTCCCTTTTCGCCCCCACTTCCCTCTTTCGATCATCCCCTGACGGCGCGTTTAATCTCTCGACGAAGCGGCCGCGATCGCCGTCGCTGCCATCCGACGATGACATCGAAACAACGGGATTACGCGTATCTGACGCAACTTTGCCAACTTTCAACGGCGCAAGTCTCATCTCCATAATTTAAAACGAAAAGTTAAATTAGCCCCTCTGCCATCCTCGTGTCATGCCCTAAACCGGCCGAACAACCCCAACGTCCGACCAACGTAATCTGCGAAACTAGCCGAATCCGCGCGGTAAATAACGCTCGCAATTAGTGCCCTCGCGCGAAAGCGGAGTTATTTTTCGGAGCGAAAAGACACCCTGTCGCGTATCTCGTGTCGGGACGATCCAGTCTCGCGCACACGCTTTCGCGAGACGGCGAGAGTGGCCCTTTAACGTTTATTTACACGGCGCAAACACATTTTTCACTCGGGATGAAGCGACTCGCGAGCAACATTATTGGCCGTCGCGTAAACGGTATCCACGATCATTAACGTCATTATCGGTACGAGCAATAACGACGACGGCTGGATCGCTATCGCACCGTCACACGAGATGTCGATCGATCACTGGTAAGGACTGCCGCGAGCAAAATGATGGCGCGATCTCACGACAAACCGGCGGCAGGCACAACCGGTAATAACTCAATGTAAACGCGCGTAAGTACTATTAATAAGACCCGAAGGGGGGAAGTGCAATCGGGTATCGCGAATGTACGATTGAATAACGCATGGCGCGCACGAGACACGAACGTGTTGTACGCGAGGGCGTATTTTGCGAGGGTTATTATCTGATGGAACGTTGATGGACACAACTGGAGTGTGTAAAGATCATACAGGGGGTAAAACACGAGCGATTGTAACGGGGAGATTTGCCGTCGCTGATGGACTGTCTGCGTAAATCGCGAAGGTATGAAACCCTCGTTTCATAAAGGTCGCCCTCGAGTAACACGCAGGGAAATTTTGGCAACGCAAAACGTCGAGACACAATGGCCCGGCTTTTATTCGCGCCGAGATACATCCGGGAGCGTATCGTCCGCGTCTCATTTACGTTACTTCCACATAAACGGGATAATAGTTCGGGAACTATGTTGTTTGCCATCTTACGAGCGTCTACGGATGCTTATAAAATGGAAGATAATTAATGCAACACCTAGAGATAACGGATACAATCCGCGGTTACCTCTTTGCCTTTGTCTTCGATAATTTATGCCGCCGCATCTTTACAGGCGTCAAAAGAACCGTCAAGATAACGCTACGTGATACGAAGATTCACGTAGTTTCGCAACTTCTGACAATTTCTCCAACTACGCGAAATGCAATTTCTCTAAAAGCATTTCGCCCGCTGTAAATTCATGCAGTAATATATTCTAGAATCGTTAGCCGTGCAAAAAAATTCCCGTCCTTTATCAAAGTAATTAAAATATATGTACTCGGTGTTATTCGTTTTTTCATATTTTGATGCATTCTATACGCAATAAAATTTGCCACAGAGAGAAACGCCTAACATTCGCCCCGCTCATTGTTCCGTTCGCAGCATTGTACTCTGTTCTCATTTGATTCGCGAATTACATTTTTCCAATTTACAAGCTTTCGCGAAAAATAATTTTGCATTTTTCATAAAAGATGTTACATTGACAATCGCGTTGGAAAGCGCGCAGAGACATTGTATCTACCATAAAATAGCATTCCATATTTCACGGCGAATCGAAATTATTTGAAATTAATGAAATTATGATTGCGCGTTCGATCGACGTAATTAGTCGATACTAATATTTGATGGTCTAAGGTACATATTTATAATTACATTTTTCCAATTTATAAGCTTTCGCGAAAAATAATTTTGCATTTTTCATAAAAGATGTTACATTGAGAATCGCGTTGGAAAGCACGCAGAGACATTACATATACCATAAAGTAGCACTCCATATTTCACGGCGAATCGAAATTACTTACTTGAAATTAATGAAATTATGATTGCGCGTTCGATCGACGTAATTAGTCGATACTAATATTTGATGGTCTAAGGTACATATTCGCATGAGATAGCAATTAAATATCAGCCTGGAGCTTTTGACGCTGCAATGCGACGAAAAATAGGAAAATCTACGAGAGCCCCCAACAAGATCTAAATGTTATATAATAGCATTAACAGATTACAATACATTATAGTTTAATTAATTACGTATATTAATTATACATTTCATATAATACACGGTAAGTGGAAATTGATATCGTAAATGCATTATAGCCATATATGGTGCAAAAATACTACACGATTCGGATTTTGAAAGCCGTAAATCGGTTTCAATCATTTTCAAATTTCGATAAGATGATGTACACATTAAGCTTATATTGCTTTCGTGAAAAACGTCATATATTATATTTAACAACATACAATATTATTTGATACGAAATTATGGAGAGGGAAAAGTTTATATAAATCTTTAGATAAAATCGTAAATCACTTTGATTACCTGCTAATTGCCGAGTATTGTTTCACTTCGACATCATCGTCGGAAGCGCATCGAGAATGTAACGTGCTCTCTCGCCTGTCTCTTGAAACGACCACTTGTATCTTGTCGGATCTGCCACTCGCGACGATCAAGACACTCGAAAGCGCGCTGCTGTTAAAAACCGTCGCGATCACTAATAAGGTGCAGCCCAGTCGCGACGCGACCGGAGGAGAGGTTCGTCCATGAGAGCGACGACAGCGGGCTCGAGGAGCTCGCAGGCGTCGCACAAAACTTGCACGATATTACGAGCACAATATACGAGCGCCACCGGGAAAATCACGTCCTCCTATATCACCCTTTCGCCCGGTCGCCGCCGCTCTCCCTTTCGCTCTGTCTCGCTCTCTCTCTCTCCCTTTCTCTCGTTCCGAGCCGCGGCTAATTAATCCCGAATACGAGGCGCGATAATGAGAATCCCGCGGGAGAGCTTTAATTAAAACTCTCGGGCCTCCTACAGCCCCCTATAGGTCGCTCGCATGGCGTACTTGACCTTCCTCGCGGGAGGTTTAATCGAATCCTCATCGGTGGTGAGCCGCGATGATGATGCGTGTACGCGTGGATTAAGCGCGCTCGCATGTTAGCCGTTGTCGCGACACACGCCGCATGTAGGGTAGGCACCCGCCACGTTGGTCCATGGTCCTCGCGTTTCTATCGCGGTGGATCGCGTAGTATCAGCTGATCCACCGAAATCGTCCGTCGACCGATCCGGCCACCGCGGAGCCTCGTATCACCGAGCTCGGTGGGCGACCCGCGTCCGCCCGCCTCGTTACGATCTGTCACTACTTGTCGCCCGCGACTGTCTTTCACTACTGCCTGTCCGCGTTGCGATCCTGTTCACCGCTGCTGTTTCCGATACCGCGCCGTCCCCGCTTCGCGGCCTCGCGAATGCTCCTCGATCCAGATATCTCTCTCTTCCTCTCTCTCCTCCTCCTCTCGGCGCACTCGACTCCTCGCGACTAATCAGTCGGATCGTCACTCGAACGTGTCACTCTCGGCGCTCACCCTCGACAGCCGCCAGTGTCCCGGCGGCTGACACTCGCGCGAACTTGGAAGCACTCGCGTTCGATTGCCGCTGCTTATCGCCGACGAGGATCGGTAATCATCGCGGCCGCGATTCGCTCATAGTCGCGACCAGTCCCGCCGTTCACTGGAGGGATTCGCCCGGCGAGGCGAGGGTGTCCGCTCGCGCGCGCATGGATATATCCGTCATGTATGCGTGTGTCTGTATATATATATATATATATGTGTGTGTATATGTGTGTATGTGTGTGTAGCACGCGCCTGTAGGATCCAGGTCCGGCCGTGGCGCGATACGATGGAGAACTGACGTCCTGACGGGCTGCAGCGCCCCGACGACGGGCGTAGGGCGAACCATCCGCCGTGAAGCGAGCGGCGGGAGAGAGATTCACCACCCCCATTCCCTCGCTCCGGCCGCCCCGGTGTAACCCCCTCCCCCGGGCACGGTGCTCTGCTTTTGCCCGTGCCACCTTGTCGTCGAGAGGGCACCGTCGTACGCGCGACCGCGCGAAATTGCAGCAAATTTTCGAAAGTGCAGCATCGCTCTCCTCGTGCATATCGAAAACGAGTTTTTCGACGTCGCGCATCTGGCTCTTACAGGGACGAGAAATCGTCAGAGATTCGTGAGACTCGTGGCTGCGGAGAAAGTTTTCTATATCGATCGAATTGTTGGATTCCGACTCGCGTTAAGCACGCATCACTGTGTGCAATATTTTGGATTATCTTATTGGGGAAAAGATAATAAATCGTTTGGCTGATTGAATTACAAACTTTATTTTAAGGGTAAAGAATTTATCTGCATTAAACTTATTTACTAAAAGCATTTCCCTAAAAGCATTTACTAAAAGCATTTCTAAAGCGTTTGAAAATAAATAGAAACTGTGAAGCAGAGTACGTATGAGAAATATTCTTGTGTGAAATCCATCATAATTAAACTAAAACAAAGTAGCTTATTTTTCACATGCAATCGATCGACGCTTCAAAAATTCTGGAAACTGGATGCACGGAATTAAACTTCAATGGTTTAATTATTTTAGACATTTCTCGCAAATCCCTTCACCCATATGTTCGATATTTTTCGCATGTAAAAAAGAGAATCCAAGTATTTTATTTAAAATTGCCTCGTATACAATGCAATTTTAATATAAATATTCATTTCTACTTTTAAATTTAATTAACTTTCTTATAGTACATTATAATTTATATTTACACACACTCGCTTTGACGCAGTCGCTTTTATAAATTATTTTCATGCGAGTTATTACACACTTGTACATGACGTATTAGACGTTTAAAAATGACGAATAGGACGTAATCCAAAGGCACGGGAAGAGGAGGTTCGCGTAATTTCTTAATCAATATGGCCTAATTCATTTTTACGACAGAATAAGGCTCGCGTTCCGAGCTGCGTGTTTTCCAAGACTTGCATGCATTTGCAAAACGTCACGTGATTCGCGGGGGCCACTTAATAGACGGTCTTACATCATTCTGAATTGGATACGGTATAAACCTAAAATTGTAATTTGCAATCCGTGCGAGAATCGCTCTGTTTTTCGATTTTATTGCGAATCGCTCGGCGCGAATCTTCCCGCGTTGATGAAAAAGAGAAAAGAGCGCGTCACGCGAACATTGCCTTCTATCAACAAAACGATGGAAAATTGTTCAAAATCCGTTACTGTACAAGACCATTCGCTTTATAGTCTTATGGTCTAAGCTGTATTATTAATTAAAGGAATTAACTTTGGTGGCATATACTGTGCGACCCTCGCTCGTGGAAAGGAAGGTCGAACGCCTATATCATAGTCTAATTTCCAATTAAGGCGTTATTAATACTGGCGCCAGTGGACGTTATATCTCCTGGATTATATTACGATTTACATTTTGCATACGAGAGACCGTTATCACGTCTGAATTTCTTATTTTAATTATATTATATAATCTCAATATAAGAGACGAAATTTATTGAGAATGAAAATGTAGGCCGTAAATATTTGAATCTAAACTCGGAAAGATTTGGCCATGTGCTTCAATATCTAGAAAAGATAGATAATTTCGGAATCATAAAAAGTGAGGCAAAGTTTTGCGATTCATAAAAGAATAAAACTCGGTTAATTTCACGTAGTAGTTTTCGGTTAATTTCAGGTAGTAATTTGAGATCTACCAAGTTACGGAAATAGTTTTAAAATGTTCTGTAATTACGAGAAAATGAACGATATTCTTAAATGTTCTCCGATATTTCAATTTCAACTACTCCGATTATTGAAACATATTCGATATAACTATATTTAATAAAATTCGTATTAAATTCAATATATGTATATTACATGGCCTAGATATATATTGGCTGTGATATTTTTCCAAATATTATACACTCAGTGTTTGCAATATGCAATTACACGAAAAGCGTGTATAATTGCGTGAAAAAGTAATTAACGTGGCACGAGAAAACAATCCTCGATTAAAATGTGTACTTTTTCGAATGAAGGCAAAACGAAGCGAATAAAAAAATTGCTTGGTTAAAATAATGATGCATTCTCTTCATTTACATTTCCACACGCACTTGGTGATTCTCAAATGTCGTTTCGAAAAGACTAAGAAAGATGTGACTGTAAAGATAAATCAGAATATATCCATGTCGTCAGGATGAGGGGTTCGTTATGTTGTACATGTTCGTATATCATTCTTACGCGCCAACAATGAGACGAGACACACGGACACGGACACGGACGTCTCGCGGCGCAACCTTTGGCATGGTTGAAAGGTGCGAGGGATAGAGGTAGATGGGTCGTTTCACACAGCAGCGCCTCGCTTAATTACCAGTTACTAGTAACTGGAGTTAGGAGCGTTTAGCTTACAGTTCACGCCATCCAACAAAAGCTTATAACGTTACGAACTATTCCCATTGCTACCCTAGATTCAACAACGAACGAGGGTTCACCCGGTACCCGGATTCGTATTACTTCGGAATCATATCAAATACGGAAACGAGTCCGCGAGTTTGTAGTTGGCGAACTGCAGTTGGCTCGGTTTACAATATAATTAATCTCGTGACTGGCCGATATGAGTTGGCCGGCTAAATATAATATCCGAGTATCCGTAGCTTATTATCCGCCCACGAGTCGTGACGAAAGCTCATTATTTTACGGGAACATCGCGACAGCCTCCAATTCTGATAATCTAATCGCGCTTTTCACATTTTCCAACTTTGTACGAAAAAAAAAAAAAAAAAAAAAAAGAATCAAGGCGACGCGACGCGCAAATTCAATTGTCGAGGGGAAAAAAAAATTTGCGACCAACCGTCATTTATTTCGCCCAACAATACGATCGGTTAATACAATTTATCGCATACCGCTGCAACTTTATTCGCTAGTGCGGTCATTTTCGGGTTGTAACGCATTTCTGAGCCATAAATCTAATATTTCTTGAATCGCCGACGGAAAATTCATGGACAATAAATTGAAGTTTCGACAACGCGATTCAATGATACTAAAAACAAACGCCCGGGCGCAAATCACAGCCACGTTTTCGAAAATCCTCCGGTAGTATTCGCGAGATCAATTTACCAAATACCGTGAAACTTTGCAGCTTTGACATTTGCCCGACGAATGAAACTAATCAAACATTCTATTCAATACAGCGCAGTCACACTATCCATAACCATTTTGTTCGAGTCGAACCGTCTCGATTAAACATGAGATTGACTGCATACACAATGAGGCTCCCTCGAAAGAAAGATATGTAAATTTATTCAATTTCTCAAAATGATATGCACACACACAACCTTCTAACGTTTACATGATTATATGCCGCTGTAAAAAAATTTCTAAAGGCTCTTTTAATAAGTTTTATGAAACTACTAACTTGGCGCTGCTCACGGTATTCTTATTTTTAGTAGCTGCATAGAATTATAAATTATATATTGTGTGCTAAACATTCTTGTAAAAGATTTCATGTATGTAAATAAAAAAATTTCCTACATAAATAAAAAAATTCTTGACATCTAATTAAATATAATTTGAAATTAATAAAAGAGAGAGAGGGGCACAGAGATTGAATTTAAAAATTTAAAAGAAAGCAAGAAAACCTGGAGCATATTCTGCGCAAGCTTCAGGGTCGAAAAAGTGGCCCGTGTAAGCAAGGACGGCAATTTGGGCGGCGGACATCCCTTGTCGCCTTTGGCGAGGCTTCCGGACTGGTCATTCTGTGCAGCTGAACACAGCGTTCTCGGTCGGCTGTATCCACACGCGTGCTAGTTACATTGGGCTTTGCGCCGCCGATGCGTGCATGTAGATCGAAGGGAATGGCGATACTGGGTACACTAGAGCGGTTAGACATCCGTTGGCATCCGTTAGCCGTAGCCCATACACACGCAGATTGGATCGGACATTGCACGCCGTCAGCTCAGCTTCTGAACAGGGAAACTGCGTCCGCCGCAGAGAGCTATACCTATCCAATAGGATACGGACTAACGCGACCGCGCGCGTACATTTAGGTTATCGAATCGTAATGTACGATACGAGAAAGGCAATCTGCTCGCCGTCGTCCTGACGAGATTCTGGAATTAGTGTCAATTTCGGTAGATAGCTAATATGTTCGGCTTACACATGCCACGAGTTTCGCCCGATAAAGACGGCGGACGTATTCAACGTCAGTGTCAGATAATACGCATGGTAATTATCGGGAGGACAAGATTGCGATCGACCGACGAGGAAATCGGTATCGAAATCCAGAGAGAGGAGAGAGAGAGAGAACACGTCTGCTTTTCCATTCGCACATGCACATTCGTCCGCGAAGTCGGCTTCTTCGCGACCGTAAACCGTCGTAAACCGTTAATGACTCCGTATAATTTAATTGCGGCCCGACACGACGAGGTCGGGATGAGGTGCGTGCCAACCCCGGATTCTCGAAACATTTCGCTAGCTAATCTACCGCACGTTATACGCGCGCTTGTGCCACGAACGATCGCAGGGACGAATGAAAGGGGGGGGCGAGTTCACCCTGCCAAGAAGTGCACATTTTGCTATTTCCGCCAACGCCCCTCCAGCGCCGTAACCAATGTACGACCCTTTAACGGGTAACAAGACCGCCAACAGCGACTTCATTTGCATTTATTTCTAGCAGACTTAACGTCGACCGTGATACGAGAGGAACGGATGGCGTCGCGTAATTTCCAACTAATATACATTCTCGAGGATTGCTCTCGCGGTGAAATCCGATCAAGTCATAATTCCGGAAAGCGCAAGCTGTTACGCTTGTCTACGCAGAAATACCGTAGCGGAAAAGCGTT